TGAGGTTCCAGCAGGGACCTGAGAAATGTGAGGGAGGGAGCGCTGCATGTAGCTGGGGAATCGTATGTTCCAGGCAAAAGGAATGGTCAGCACAAAGTTCCTGAGGCTGGAAGGAAATAGGGAGAGGGAGAGGATGGCAGCCAGAGGAAGGGACGTGAGAAGGGATTCTTTAAGGCCCCATGAGCCTTGGAGGGTTCTGAGCATCAGTGATGAGATCTGAATTATGTTTAGAAACATCCCTCTGCTATTTTATATAAAACTATATATATATAGCTATATATATAAAACTGCTATTTTGGGAACAGACTACAACAGACAAGGTCAAGGCAGAGATTAAGGGAGAAATGCTATCGGCTGGGAGGGCGCTGCCGTAACGGTGATGGTAGAAGCAGCTCGATTCTAGACACAAGAGTGTTTGTTAACAGACCAATCAGGGCACACGAGGAGAGTGTCCACGGCCTCAGCAACTGGAAGGATGTGGCTGGAAGGTCTGATGTGGACTCACGTTTAGGATCCTATCAGACATTTACTCCATAGGGGAGAAAGGTCTGTAAAATTGAGCTCAGATCTTGTTAAAGAGGTAGAGGGACTAGGCAAGCTTATTTACTCTTCAAGCAGAGGGCATGGCTGAAGAAAAGACAAGAAGAGCTATAAGGATGTCTTTATACACATGTCATCTTTTATCTAAACAAGAAAACGCACCATCATTTTCACTGTCTCGGGTACTGTGAAAATATTTTGCATTTATTTGAAACCTTAACTCTAGTAAAGTAAGATTTGATGTTAAATGTTATTGACTCTCAAAACACCCACTTGAAGTAAGAAAAGATGTCAGAGAACCCTTTTATGAAGTGGAGGAACAAGGAAGTAAGATGACTTTCAGAGTCAGGCAAGGTCCCACATGGGAAAGCTGGTCCTCGGTGGACAGGACATGAATTGATGAATTCCACCTGCCTGGATTCAATGTTTGGTCAAGTGAATTTTTCAGAATCATTGGACTGTAAGTATCATATAAGCCCAGGAATTAAGAACAGACTCCAGAATCTCAAATAAATAGTCCTAGGCAAGGTCTGTACTAGAAAACCTCTTAAAACTTCTCTATATCACTGGTCAGACCAAGATTTGTCAGATGGCATAAAACAAGCAAAACATTCTGACCACCCAGAGAATGGCTAATCCTCACAGTCAATAAGCTATTTTTCAGCATTTTGTAAGTTTCTGCTCTCATCTTGCATGAGTACCATGAGTTATTTACATTTATTTCCATACCTGTTTATGTTTGTAATAAAAACTATGATCAGTAAAAAATGCTTGTGGAAAGAAAGAGGGTTGCTGGTTCTTCCAGTGGATAGTTGGGAAGATTTCTTTAAAGATAAGTTGCTAAAAATTTTTTCTCAAGTTCTGTGTAAATGAGACAACTAAAAGATCAGGGAAAGAAGTTATTCAGTAGTAGGATTCTGTTCTCTAACTGCTCCAAGAATGTCTTTAAAGTGGACTCAGTTGTATTTTAAAGAAACCAAACTGGATATTTCAGACAATGCATTATGGGTGAAGTACAAGTGGACAAAAAAAGGCTTCCCAGGTGGCACTAGTGGTAAAGAATCTGCCTACCAATTCAGAGATGCAAGAGACAAGGGTTCTATCCCTGAGTCAGGAAAACCCCCTTGAATAGGAAATGGCAACCCACTCCAGTATTCTTGCCTGGAAAATTCCATAGAGAGAGGAGCCTGGTTGGCTACAGTCCATAGGGCCACAGAGAGTCGGACATGACTGAGCACACATTGGCAAAAAATCCATCAAACACAACCAATAGACCCAAACTAAATGCAAAGATCTTGGCTCTAACATCAAAAGATTGGCCAACAACTGAACCAAATCTATATGTTTCAAGTTAGAACAGAGTATCTGTGGAGTTCTGTCCCAGGCCACACGTGTGAGGCTTTGCACCAAGGCTGCAGAAGTGGAGCCCAGCGCCAAGGGCACCTCTGAAGCTGACTAAGCCCCTTTGTAACTGTGGCCCCGAATCCCCCCTGATCATCACCAACAGCTTCCTGACACCAAATTCAGCAAAAATGCCCACCCCATGATCACCCTAACATGCCCTAACCAGTCACCTAAAGCCAAGCCTCCAGCAGGAATCTGCTTTGTCTTGAGGCTATAAAAACTGGCTACTAACCCACGGAAAGTGTCGCTTCTCCCTGTCTATCAGGTTAGCCTGCTGCACTCACAGAGCCCACATTATCTCTGCTCTGTGTTCTTAATAAACTCACTCCCTTCTGAAAGGCGCTGTGTCTGGAAATTCTTTTTCAAACCACACTCAGCCTGCCATGAGAGTGTTTAAGGTCTGTAAGTGTAATTTTTTAAAATGATGATTTGCTTTAATTGACTTCTGTGATAATGTGAACATAATATCACTAGCTAAGAGCTGTTCTATGGTCCCATGATTCTGGGCTCCTAAGCTGTATTCATGTCAAAATGGTACGACCATAAAAAACCCCAAATCTTGTCTTTAAGTATAGACTTCTACCCTGGAACACAGACTTATATATCACATATTTGTGACTACAGGGTTCAGACCATGGCTTTTAAATAAAACAAGACTGCAGCAATCAAAGCATGGAAGTAAGAACGTTTCGATTTACTGATCTGAGCCACCTTCCCAGGACTGTACTTGCTCAGGGATGGGGTGGGGTTGACAGTATCACACAAGAACTCAGAAGGCTAAGTTTTAGGCTGAACTCTGTCCTAGCCTGCTGTGTAGACTCAGGCGAGTTCTTTAAACTCCTTGGCTTCCTCTTCTACATCTGAAAAACGTGGTGTCTCAGTTCCACCTCCAGCTCTAACCTGCGAGGACTCTGCAATCTGAGCAGTGAACGAACACTGGGGGCTTTCAATGAGAAAGGCACAGCCACTTTCCACGTAACGAGTCCTGCAACCTACAGAGCAACCCTACCAGCAGGCACTGTGCTGCTGTTCCATTTTGAGATGAAGCAGGTGAGGCCCAGGGAGGCCACTCGTGTGTCTCGGTCACACAGCTGGGAAGAGGAAGAGGCAGGATGCGCGGCCAGGCAACTTGTTCCCGATCCCAGATTCTTAAGGTCACATGAGTCATAGGGCTTCTTGTAATATGACAAGTTGACAAAAGACATGACACAGGTCTACAGAACTGTCATTTTGCAAAATTTCAAGCATCTAAATATCTGTCTGATTAACAAGTCTTTCTCTTTCTGGGTGATCAGCATGGACTTCTGGGATTGAATGTTGCTATGGCAGATAGCAACCAGAAAGACCTTTGTAGCAAATAACATAAGCGTGCACTAGAAACAACGCTTGTTCAGATCAGCAGGCTTCAAGAAACCATCCAACTGGATGTAGATCCGAGCACAATAATGAAAGAACCTGAAGGCAACATCTGTTCTCCCAAAGCGAGGTGATCTGGAAAAGCAGCATAAAACCAACTAAGCCATGCAAGTATAGAAGCAAAGGCTCTCACATCCTGTGGAACATCCATTCCTGCCTGGACCCAGAGCCACAGTTGGGAGCTTCTCAAACTTTACTGCACATATGAGTCACACTTTGTAAGTGACGGTGAAAGAGTCTTGATGGTCTCAGTATCTGTAGAACTCAGTTCTGCACCCGTTGATTCTGTGTCCAGGGTAAAGTCTTCTTATCTCAGTTTCATCAAAAAATCTTACCTGGATATTCCCTGAGGGCTCTAAAGTTCAATATTTCTAATGATGACCTTTCTCATTCAACCCTGCATTGAGCTTCTACTTGCAGGATCAATGGGAAAATAAAATGCCCATCTCCCAATCCCCCAAACCCAGATCTCCGCCATGGAAGAGCAGAGGCCCAGGCCTCTTTACATATTTTATGCAAAGATAATGGTGCTCTGTCCACAGGTAACACTGCCTGAAGACAAACAACTTGCAGGAGAGTGAATTACATTCGAGGCTTTCTACTTTGGGCAATATCTCTTTGAGACTCACTTGCCAGGGCAATGGTAGGCTGGTTATGGTATTAAGATGGATCATAACCCAATACTTTCATAGTTTACAGGCAGGGAAGGTATCAGTCATCAAGACGTGCACTAACAGGGTAACCACAGCCATATGCAGCAACTGAAATTCAGTGCATCTGAATTGAAAACATGTATTATATTTTGACAACTTTGTATGAAGAGAAGAATGTAAAATATGTTAACTGATTTTATACTGATTTCATATTAAAATGACCTACTGGGTTACAAAATGGCATACCAGAATTTAAAAAGATACATGCATCCCTATGCTCAGAGCAACATTGCTTACAATAGCCAAGACATGGAACCAATCTAAACGCCCATTGACAGAGGAATGGATAAAGATGTGGTACATTCATACAATGGATGACTACTCAGCCATAGAAAAGAATGAAAGGAGGCCATTTGCAGCCCCATGGATGGACTCAGAGATGATGACACTAGTGAAGTAAGCCAGGCAGGCAAAAATGAATACCATGTAGTATCACTTCTGTGTGGGATATAAAATAACAAAATTAATTTTACCTGTGGCTACCAGAAAAAATTAAGCTACATCTGTGGCTTGCATTATATTTCAGCTGGGTAGTGCTGCTCTAACCCTTTGCTGCTGAAACTGTGATTCTCAGACCATCAGCATCAACTGGGAGCTTGTTAGAAAGGAAGAATGTGTCCTTACCGCAGACCTACTGAATCAGAACCTGCATTTTTACTAAATCCCAGATGATTCTTGTCTACATTCTGGTTAGAGAGGTTCCTACAACATATCACAGTCAGTGTTCAGGCTGCTGGTATTCATGAGTGACATGCTGAAAGGGTATTGTGCTTGTTGAATTTTCTAGCAAGCAATGGAAACTTTCTTTAAAATTTAAATTAAATTATACAATTCAAAATATATATCAAAATGACATTATACATGAAAAACTATGTGCACCACACATGTCTATACGGGAATGGAAGGAGGTTGTTTCATGGAGGATACCTTAGTTATTTCTGGATTTTCAGCCACCATGTACGTGAAACTGATGTTCACCAGATCTGCACCACTGCAGACACAAACTATCCGCCCTTCCAGATCATTTTCTGATTTGCCAAGAGCTTCAAGAGCAGCCAAAATTTTGGGATCCTATAGAGGTAGGCAAATAGGAAAAAAATACATTAGATCACAGAGCATAGAAAAAGAAACTACAGTTGATGTAAAAACATCCAGTAAGGCAAATTCTTCTATTTAAAAATGTCCAGGTATCTCATGTTATTCTAAAACCCATATAGATAAAACCTATAACATTACACATTATTGGAACTCATCTGGTAAGAAAGGTATAAACAGTTATTGATTTAGAAGATGGGGAGGCAGGGTCTTTCTTTCAATTGTGGCTTGTGGTTACTGGAGGACGTGAACTACGGCATCAGGACTCAAAGGCTCTGCCCGAGACCTGATTATGTCTGCAAAGGTCAAAGGGGGTTCTCAGAACAGTCACTGGGGATTCACACAAACATGCAGGGCATTGCCAACGTCAGCAACCTCAAGTTGTTAAAAAATGAGATTGAGTCTTTCAAACACAAAGAATGGACACAAAGAATGAACACGTGCATCTCTAGGAGCCCTGGCCTCCTCATTTGGAATGAAAACTGTGTAAGTTTGCCCTAGTTAACAAATAAAATAGTGGCTTTGTCCTCTGAAAGGACTCAGGGGGGAAATGCCAAGGTAGTTACACAGAGATTTTAAACTAACATTAAAGAGGGTCACTAACAAAAAACAAAAACAAAGTGAGGAGCATAATTTTGTTTTGAACATCTAAAAACCTGCAAACCTGCAAGACAATTATGGAAAAGGGAATAAATGCTGTGCTGGAATATTCTAGGAAAAAACCATCCTTTAAATTCCTAGCGCAAACAGCTTCCCATTCAAACAAATCAATCCCTGTGAAGGATTATTCATGTGATCTGCCATTCTTTTTTTTCTCAGAGGCAAGCTGAGCCTTCAAGGTGAGCAGGATCTGCGTGCACAGGTGCACAAATATGGAACTACCTGAGTCATCTAAATTTCCACATCAGCCATGGACCAGAAGTGACTCACTCTTTGCTGAAAAAGAAGGTGGGGATGGGGGGGAAGGGGTGCTTGTCAGATTAATTTCTGAGTTAAGGGAACAGTTTATTTCAATGCTCTTACCACACAAGGGTCATCATTTTCAAAGGTTAATAACAATTTCTAATATAATTAAACCCAATGCAATCCAAATCACCCAACCATTACAGATGAGATTTCTGAACTGTATCTGTTCTTCATCCAGCTGAGGATTTGGGGGCAGTAACGGGCCTCGTCGGTGGCTCGGTGGTAAGGAATATGCCTGCAAGCCAGGAGACGAGGTTTCAAGCCCGGGTCAGGAAGGTCCCCTGGAGGAGGAAATGCAACCCACTCCAGGATTCTTGCCTGGGAAATCCCACGGAGGAGGAGACTGCCAGGCTACAGTCCTTGGGGTCAGAAGCACTGAACACGAATGAGCGACTAAACTACAACAAAGGGATCACACAGCAGCCTGTGTCTAGAAGAACAACAAACACCAAGCTTGGCTACCTTTGGTGTGGCTCCCAACCGAACACTGTTGATGAGGGAACATTCTAGCACTTGGCCTTCCTGCAAAGAGAGCATACAACACGGCAGTGAGTCTAAATTCTGCCAGACCTATAGCACAGACAGCTGATTAGCAAACGTTTGTGATGATGGAGGTGATGCTGATTAGAGTAAGGCAGAAGCAGGAATAGAAACAAGTAATGATAACGATAACAATTTTCAACAATCAAAAATAGTCAAGATATTTTCAAGGCAAACTTGGGTCCATTCCTGTGCGTGAAGTAAAACCAATACACTGACACTGGGTTGTGGTGAAGGAAAGTGCAGTGTTTACTGCAAGGCTCCAGGCAAGGAGAGCGGGTGGCTCTCGCTCTAAAACACTGAGCTCCCCAAAGCAAAGGGTTTCAGCAAAACAGCTTCAAAGGGCAGCTGAGGCAGGGATATTGCAGGGCATACGATCAGCTAGTGCACATTTCTCTGACTGGTTGAGGGGGAGATAACATGGGTGAACATTATTAATCCTGAGGCTCCAGGAGGCTATGTCCTTATGGTCATCAAGTAATTAAATGCTTCCATTGGGTGGGGGCTTTAGGATCTGTGAAATAACTCAGGAAATGTGCATCAGATACGATCTAGGAACTTCAGAGAGGAGCTAAAACAGCGGATATAGAGAAGAGGGCTCTGTTCGGAAAACCCCACAGAACACCCCCCCGGGGCACAGACACCAAAAACACCACACCACATATGTATATATATACACACATATATATGCAGAATGCAACTCTGAATAAGTACAAAATGTTACTTTTATATATTTAATATTGTGATTACTGCCATGTATATTATTAAATATGTGTGTACATGAAATATCAGTGGGACTATACTAACTTAAACTCTGATTCTACTCTTCGGAAATTCAGCTCAAAGGTTCACAAAATCTGAACGCTGTGAAATGTGTTAAAGTCTTGGAAAGTGCCCTGAAACGCACCTCTGAGACTTCAGCTTGAATAACTCTCTTCTGGGAAATCTTTCTAGCTCCCAAGATTTAAATCAGACTCGCCTGCTTTTAAGCTCTTGTAACCTGACCTTCTCTTTCTCAGCTCTCAATGTCTAGTAACTTTCTTTCTTTTGGATGCCCAACTTTGATCCTAGGCTGGAATCTATAAGGATCACATCCTTGATCATTGCTATATCCCCAATGTCTGGCACACGGAAGCACATTTTAAGTCTTGAATGGATGAATAAGTGTCGGGTCCGTGCCCACAAGGGGCTTTCAGTCACTTGGGGAGAAATGAAACGCCTTCACCCTGAGAGCAAGAAGGAGAGACTTGTTTCTGTGCCATACCTTGCCTTCACTTCTCCAGGTCAGAAAGAAGCCAAATTCATCTACTTTGAAGAGGCAGTTGGGTTCAAACACAAAGGATTCCTGTGAAAAAGAAATGTGTTGATCTGCATGACTCACACCATTTTGAATCTAATAAAAATGCAAATATCTTTTAGCATCTAAACAAGAGACAAATGCATCCTGAATCTAATGACCACATTTCTCATTATATTATGTAACATTTTCATTTCTTGCATTCATTTTTGCATTGAAAGACTGATCAGTTTTATACAGCATCTTCCTTTAAGGCAGTTTTAAGAACAAAACACATTAATGCTCTGAAGGTACATAGAGGAGAAGTTTTCTCTAAGATCTCGGGAAAAAGAGCTCCTGGAAAGAAGGACTCCCAGGTGTCAGCCAACTGGTCTCACTCCACACAAGAGGAATTATTGCTGATCTCTAACATAATATCAGAAATCAGGAGATAATTTTTTTTAATCAGGTTTTTTTTTTTTTTTGTCTACAGAATTCAGCATTCAGAGGTTTACTCAGATAACTGCTGAGTTTTCTGCTTTTATATCCAATCTCATTGCATGTTCCATAAACCGGGACTTAAGCAAGACTTTGAGCTACTCAAAGTATAGTCCTGGGAGCAGCAGAATCAGCCTCACTTGGGAGATTGACTGAATTGGCGGAATCTAGGGCTCCAGGCCAGACAGACTGAATCAGTCTCTGGGGTGGGAACCAGAGATCTGTGTTCCAACAAGCCCTCCAGGTGATTCTAATACACAGTAAAAATCTAAGAACCACTGCTGTGGACATCAGGATCAGATCAAGATGGAATCTTAGCCAAATGCAGGGGCCCCACAGCAGGTAAGTTGTATTTCCCAAAGGATTCCTGGTCTTTAGCAAGAAAGCACCATTGTTCTTAAAAACTGCAGGTGAGTTCTATGTCAATGAAAGCAAAAGGGCCCCCAGGAAATGAACCCAGATGCCCTCTGCCCTCAGCCTGCATCACACCAAGACTTGGCACCCAAAAGGCAAAAAAACCAACCCCCAGGAACCAAAAAAACTGGCCCCCCAAAAGAATAAAAAAACGCCAAAAGGGGCCGCCCGGCAAAACGGAAACGGGGAAGAACTCAAAAAAAAAAAAAACAAATAACGGAAGAAAAATTTAAAAAAAAGCCAAAACCCCAAATCAAAAACTAATTTTCCAAAATTCAAAGAAAGAAAAAAAATTAATGGTAAAGCCAAAGGCAAAAACAAAATTTAAAAGCCCAAGGGCCCCGAACAAAAATTTGTGTAGTTTTCTGACACGTAAAGAATTATCATGTGCAAGCAGTCACCGTAATGAGTAAGATGAAGGAATGGCATTATGTGATCTTTGTTTATGGGATAAAAATCCAGTTCTGCCACTTATTATTTACTTTCTCTTACGAAGACTCTAAGTCTCAGAATCCTTATCTAATAAAAGGAAATATTTACACCTACCTTTTAGGGAATGAAATGAGATGATAAATGCAAAGAACGTTTACATTTTACCATGAATGTGAGTCACATTGCTACACAGTTCAGCAAGTGGTAGCTACCATTCTTCATCCCTGGTTCCAGTTTACATTTGTGGTAGCAAATTATTAACAATGTGAATTTGTCAATATGTAATGTTTTCGACCCACAGAAACACACTTCTGGATGGTTCAGCTTTTTAGGAAAGGTGTGACCCAGAAGTTGACACTTTAGATGGGTCTCAGAGGATGAGCAGAAGCTATCCAGGTGAAGCAGAGTGGCAGATGTGCAGGACTGCTGACAGTAGGGGCTTCGGAGGAGTTGATGTGGTAGGGGATGGCAGGAGATGAGACTAGACACATAAATAAGGCTAGACTGAAGGTGGGGTACATCATACAAAAAGGTATTAAACGTAACCCAAAAGGTCTTGAATCATTACTGACTGAGAAACGAGAATAATGAAACTATGAGAATGAACACATTGTGAATACTTTCCAAGCAATATCTTAATGTCAATAAAGAATCTCAGTGTTCAAAAGTATGGCCTAAAATGGTGTTTACAGAATAGGCCTACAATGAATCAGCTACCATCATTATTTATTTATGTACACCCAAGCCAATTCCAAATAGGGATTTGGAATGATCTAGGAAATATACATGATAAATAAGAATGATTTTCCAGCTTATTTTGAGGTGGAACTTACAGTTCCTTGGCCTCCTTAACAGCAAAGTTTTTCTCTTTCTTCCTCTCTCAGTTACTTAGTACCCTCTGACTTTACCTGTACTACCTGGGAATTTGGATTCCTAACATCTCACTCTTGGATTATCTGATGCTTTTAATGCCTAGCTCTATAGTCTTCACTCTGTTATATTAATCTAAGTTCCTACAACTTCCTATTTATTAATCCTGCCCACCCCTCGCTAACCATCAGGCTTCCCTTGCTTTTACTTCCATCCTGTCTAGTTTATTTCCATGATCCAACATTACAATCACTTCCTCACAGACATCTTGAACTTCTATGTCTCATTTTCTGTTTAAACTAAGTCCATCCTGTCCATTTTTTAATCACTAAATTTGATGGAGAAAATCACAAAACTGGATTGTCTGGCTTTGGTTTAAAGTCAAGATTATAAACTTCAAATGGATAGTCCACATGATTTTCAACCTTATAATTCTTTCTTTTAAAGTTCCCCAGTGCTGCGCTGAGCGTGTCTGTGCCTGCCGGCCGGCCGGAGTCTGCAAAAAGATTATCTCAGTGCTTCTCAAACTCCTTTACTCCTCGCCAATTACTGAACTTCATTGATTAAATAAAGGAAACTCATCAGATGAGAACTTTCTCCATCCTTCCCCCTAATAAAGTATGCTTTCGCCCATCAAAGGTGAATCCCTCCGCTTCTGCTCCAGATCCAGTCGTCTTCCAGATTCCATCCTCTATCACCTGCACAAGGATTTCAGTCTTCTGTGTATCGTCGTCCGATACACATTGAGTTTTCTGGTCGTTCCTATCAGCACACAAATAAGCTCCAGCCGTCCCCTCTTACTCCTTCATTTACTCCCTCATGTCTCTGATCCGTTTTAAGGGCACAGTATCTTGAAGAGTTTGTCTCCAGCCACTGTCTCTACTATTTCTCTTCCATACCATCTCTGACCAGTTCCATCTGCCTTCTGTTCCTCCCACTTGCTAACAGTTTTCTGCCAGGTTCACCATGACTCACTTTCACGCTGCCATATGCAAGGCAAACTTTGATTTGCTCTTCTACATGTTCAACATAACAACTTCTTACATGATCTGCAGAAGTCGGCTCTGGGGATTGTTATTTCTACTATGTTCCAAGACCTCCTTTAATGCTAGAGCTTTAACACCATCTACTTCTTGATGACTCCCAAATTTGTAGTAGTGGCCCCAGCCTCTCTGGGTTCTCAGTTCAGACAGCTAACTCTCTTCTTGACTTCTTCACATGAAAGTCTCTAAATTAACGCATCCATAACCAAATTCTTTGTTCCTCACCCTCTTTCCTCAAGCCTTTCCATCACAAGACATTCTGGGCTCAATACTTGTCACTAGTGTCCTGATTTACTGAAACTACAATCATCTTGACTTTCCATTAAGAAGTCCATTTTCATAGCATCCATCTCCACCACCACCACCACCACCTTGGTCCAGAGTATCACCATCTTTTTCATAGATTAATCAACTCATTTCTACTCTTTCCTTCACAGCAGCCAGATTGATTCTTCAAACAGTGAAGCCATTTAATAGATCCCCATCATATTTAGGATAAAATCCGAACTTCTAGCATGGGCTAAAAGGTCCTGTATAATCTGGGTCTTAGAGACCTGATCTCACATCATTCTCTGTCTTTGTTTTCCTTCTTGTTCACTACACCCATCAGTACTCTTTTCCTTAAGAGTACTTCTTAAGCTCTTCTAGCCTCAGGGTCTTTGCATTGGCTGTTCCTCCTTCCTAGAAGTCTCTTCCTACTGTCTTTAGCTTCTCCATCCTACAGGCCTCACCTTAACTTTCCCCTCTTCAGAGGGGCTATTTCCTTGACCTCCCTAATAGGTTTGTCATTTTATTTTCTAAAATAGCATCTTGATTATTTCTTTGCAACTAACACAGATTATTTCTTTGCAACTAACACAGTCTGCAGTTATTTCTTTATTATTCATGGCTGGGTTCCTACACCAGTTTAACCTCCATGAGGGCAGAATCCTTGAAACCTTCTTGTTCACATTTGTGCTCCAAGCAGCTAGCACATCAAACGCATGCTGAAAGTCAATTCATGCACCAAAATTTAAACGAATCAGTTTTTTTCAAAGATACTTCACAGTAGGCCAGCGTATAAAATGTAAACCAGAAATCACGCAAGTTGAGGGGGTTGCACCAGGCCCCCATAAGGGTGAGTCTCTGGAGGCCTCCCATGAACAGACAGACAAACGTAAGGCCACCATCGTTTAGGCTGCCTGCCTGGAGGAAGCAGAAGCTTTTTCTAATTCATCAAGCTCATCTTAGAGGTTGGGTATGGTTTTGAGGTACCTCCTAGGAATCCCTTTCAGAACAGGAGAACTGCCTGAATGCCCCTACAAAGAGATTATTTCAAAACGGGATAAGAACCACAGGCAAGGAGAAGAAAAATAAAGCAAAATAATACTTTGTCCTTGCAAAATAAGGACAAAGTAAAAGATGAGTTTTCAGAAATTTTTGTTAAAAGGTCCTACACAGTGAGAATAAGATGCCTCATTGGCTCTGGGCTCCCTAGCAACAAAAGCAAAAGGGGAAAATATAATTTGCCAGGTGCCTATATAGTTCATAGATAAAAATACCAGATGTCAGGAGAATCAACTGCCAGAATAGAAATTCTCTAGTGAGACACTGAAGGAGCACCGGCAGATGCTAATAACAAGGTTTCCAACAAAACCCACAAAAAGCTTGTGCTGTGACTGGAACATTCTTGGACCAAATGGGTTGAAAGTATCCATGCAAATGAGAGCGCAAATCTGAGGGGGTATGTGACAATAGGCCGAAAGGAACTGAAACCCAATTCATTTAGATTTCTCTGCACCCTGCACTAACAGAACAACCAGACCTGCAGCG